TACAACAGGCCACAGAAAAAGCACCAGCGCGGTCAGTACACACTCGGGTGACCAGCTAGCAAGGGTGAAAAATCGGGACGGAGGTGGGGGGTAATTGGCACCTATATAAGACAAAGCCCCAAATATCGGGACTGTCCCTATAAAATCGGGACATCTGGTCACCCTAGTACACACTGAACCCCCGCAGCCAGTGACCAGCACACGGGGGGGCTCTGCGCGCCGGGCAGGGACAGGGGCGCGCGGCGCTCACACCCCGGGGTGCGAGGGGGGACACTCCCCAGCCGGGCTCAGACATGCGGGTGTCTCTGGATCGGACACTCGGGGTGCGGGGGGGGTGCAAGCGAACCGCTGCCCGACACCGGCCCCGGGACTCGCCCCTCGGGCAGGAGACCCCCGCCCTTCCCATTGCAGGTGTATCAGCACAAAGTGCAGCCCTCCCCTTTTGCAACTGGGAGCGGTTTCTGCCACGCAGCGTAGCAGTTTGGTAAACTGTTTGTTAACTTGCTACCACCTGTCCATGGGGTTGCGAATCAGGAGGGGATGGGGTATGTGGTCAAAACCGATCCCAATCTGCTTCCTGACCGGAGTGGCCGCTTTCATTGCATTCGTGAAAGGGGAGGTAGGGTTTGTGGGTATGGAGCATGCCCCTGAGCCAAAGTTGAGACCACAGTGGCCCCTTTTCATCTTTTTCCACAGGCTTCTCCTTGCTTAGTTCCAATAACTGGGCTGCTCATGCACCTGTCACTGGTCCAGGGATGGTTGGAAAACGGGAGGGATGGGGTTTGTGGTCGAAAACACTCCCGGTCTGCTTCCTCCTGGCTAATGTGCCAAATTGATCTATTGCATGATTGAGGCATGCTGTTTCACTTTTTTGTGTGTGAATCCGTGAAAAGGGAGGTAAGGTTTGGGGGAACGGAGCATGCCCCTGAGCTTGCCAAGGTGAGACCACAGTGGCCCCTTTTCATTTTTTCCACTGGCTTTTCCGTGCTTAGTTCCAATGAACTGGGCTGCTCATGCACCTGTCACTGGTCCAGGGATGGTTGGAAAACGGGAGGGATGGGGTTGTGGTGGAAAACACTCCCGGTCTGCTTCCTCCTGGCTAATGTGCCAAATTGATCTGTTGCATGATTGAGGCATACTGTTTTACTTTTTTGTGTGTGAATCCGTGAAAAGGGAGGTAAGGTTTGGGGGGAACGGCACATGCCCCTGAGCCCAAGGTGAGACCACAGTGGCCACTTTTCATTTTTTCCCCTCTCTCCTCCGTGCTTATTTCCAATTTCTGGGCCGCTCATTC